CGAAAGGAGGTGCGGCCCGTTTCGCCTGAGACATCCACAAAACTCTGGGCTCTGAGATGCCGCGCGAGAGGTGGTCCGGCCTTTTTCGCCTGAGACATCCTCATAACTCTGGGCTCCCAGATGCCGCCCGAGAGGTGATCTGGCCCGTTGCGCCTGAGACATCCTCATGACTCTGACCTCTGAGTTGCCGCGCGTGAGGTGGTGCGGCCCGTTTCGCCTGAGACATCCTCATAACTCTGAGCTCTGAGATGCCGTGCGCAAGGTGGTCCGGCCCGTTTCGCCTGAGACATCCTCGCAACTCTGAACTCTGACATGCCGCGCGAGAGGTGGTCCGGCTGGTTTTGCCTGAGACATCCTCAAAACTCTGGGCTCCCAAATGCCGCGCGGGAGGTGGTTCGGGCCGTTTCGCCTGAGACATCCTCGCAACTCTGATCTCTGAGATGCCTTGCGAGAGGTGGTCCGGCCCGTTTCGCCTGAGACATCCTCAAAACTCTAGGCTCTGAGATGCCGTGCGCAAGGTGGTCCGGCCCGTTTCGCCTGAGACATCCTCGCAACTCTGAGCTCTGAGATGCCTTGCAAGAGGTGGTCCAGCCCGTTTCGCTTGAGACATCCTCGAAACTCTGATCTCTGAGATGCCGCGCGCGAGGTGGTCCGGCCTGTTTCGCCTGAGATATCCTCGCAACTCCGGGCTCCGAGATGCCGCGCGCGAGGTGGTCTGGCCTGTTTCGCCTGAGACATCCTCGCAACTCCGGGCTGCGAGATGCCGCGCGAGAGGTGGTCCGGCCTGTTTCGCCCGCGACATCCTCGCAACTCTGACCTTGGAGATGCCGCGCGCGACGTGGTCCAGCCCGTTTCGCCTGAGACATCCTCCAAACTCTGAGCCCTGAGATGCCCTGCGCGAGGTGGTCCAGCCCGTTTCGCCTGAGACATCCTCCAAACTCTGGGCTCTGAGATGCTGCGCGAGAGGTGGTGCGGCCCGTTGCGCCTGAGACATCCTCCAAACTCTGGGCTCTGAGATGCCGCGCGAGAGGTGGTCCGGCCTGTTTCGCTTGAAACATCCTCATAACTCTGGGCTCCCAGATGCCGCTTGAGAGGTGGTCTGGCCCGTTGCGCCTGAGACATCCTCATGACTCTGACCTCTGAGATGCCGCGCGAGAGGTGGTGCGGCCCGTTTCGCCTGAGACATCCTCATAATTCTGAGCTCTGAGATGCCGTGCGCAAGGTGGTCTGGCCCGTTTCGCCTGAGACATCCTCGCAACTCTGACCTCGGAGATGCCGCGCGCGACGTGGTCCAGCCCGTTTCGCCTGAGACATCCTCGAAACTCTGAGCCCTGAGATGCCCTGCGCGAGGTGGTCCAGCCAGTTTCGCCTGAGACATCCTCGCAACTCTGAGCTATGAGATGCCGTGCGCAAGGTGGTGCGGCCCGTTTCGCAGAAGACATTCTCGCGACTCTATGCTCCCAGATGCCGCGCAAGAGGTGGTCCAGCCTGGGGGCCCAGAAGACCTCATGTTACATATCCCCCCTGGGACCCTGAGAGCCCCAGGAGGCCCCAGAGAGCTTCAGGAGGCCGCATGACGCCAAGGACAGGCCCCAAGGGTTCCCAGGAGATTCCCAGGAGGCTCCCAGGAGGCCCCGGAAGGCCCCCCATCAACGTGTCAAGTTGATACACATCCGGTGTCGATTTGTTGATTTTTCCTGCTCTTGTGGCCCCCCCCCGTTTTGGGGGGCCCAGACGGCCAAATGTTAGATATCCTCCCCTGGGAGCCCCAAGAGGCTTCAGAAAGCCCCAGGTGGGGTCCAGGAGGCCACAGGAGGCCCAGGAGGTCCCCAGGAGGCCACATGAGGCCCCCGCAACTCGGAGCTCTGAGACGCCGCGCTCGAGGTGGTCTGGCCCGTTTCGCCTGAGACTTCCTCGCAGCACGTTTCGCCCGAGACATCGTCGCAACTCAGGGGCCCGAGATGCCGCGCGCGAGGTGGTCCATGCCAGCCCGCACTGGATGGGCACGCAATCGACCTTGGAAACCGCAGTGGGTTTTAAAACCTTGTTTGGGGATACTGCACTCCGGCTATATTAAAGTGAAGCTGTCTCCTGCGTCAGATCCCGAGGACTCCGAAGCCCCCTGTATTTGGTTGGATCTGGCATTATGGCCTCAAGACGACTCCTGTTGGATTGCCCCTAAAAACGACAATCGACTTTGGCGGATATCCCCTGAACCTGGACCCCGCCCGAAGACAAACATCCTACCCTGGCCTGGGACAATACCGTGAGGTTTCGGGATGATCACCGCGTTGTTTTCAAACCGCCTAGCCTGAGCCCAACATTTGGCCCTCAGCATCCCCGTGACGTTGTCCTGGGTCCTGGAGCTGGCCCTGGAGCTTGTTATCTTGGACTACCCATCGGGGCTCATCCTGGCGGCCCTGCACTCGTGCCCCTGGTCCGTCGCCATCCAGAAGGCTCGAGTGATGACGCGGCAGTGGCACAAATTATTCCTTCCCGTCGCTCTCATGGGAAGTGGCGCCCGTGGTGATAGTCGTCAACCGTGGACCCGCTATGACTCAGACCGTGACCGTCGTGAAGGTGCTCGAGATTCTTGGTGCTCCCAGCGCGGTCAGTGGGCCCGCCGTGGAGGTGACCGCGACAGTGGCTACGACCGTCGTGGCTGGGACCGACGCGGTGCCAACAGCGACCGTGACCGTGAGCGGGATCGTGACCGCGATCGACGTCGCAGCCCTGAGCGTCGGGGTGATCATCGTGACGACCGTGATCGAGACCGCAATCGGCGCTCAGGCGGGGGTGGTCGCTCTCGCTCATCCTCGGTCCAGGCGCGCGAGCGCGAGAAGATGCGCGCGGCCCTGGCAGAGCGTGACACTGAGTACGGCGCTTTCGTGAAGGACAAGAAGGACAGGGCAGAGGAGGTGAAGCTCAAGCGCCAGGGCGAGTACATGGCAGCAGCGATGAAGTCGGCCTTCGGTGATCGCATCTCGAAGCTTGAGTCTCAGACGGACCCGAAGACGGGCGGTGATGGTCAGCGCGCGTGCACTCCTACGCCAGTGGCGGCCCCACCAGAAGCGAAGGAACTCATGGGCAGGGCGGAGGTTGGCTGGCTCAAGTCGATCATCGGCAGGAAGCTGACTCTCCCGCAGAAGCTCACCTGGGGCCAGGCCGCGTCCCAGCTCGAGGAAGCAATGAAGAAGGACACGACAGTGGTATGCCAGGTTAATAAGTGCAGCTGGGCCCGCTTCCCGCGCAAGGCTCTTCCATTGTCCAAAGAGAAGCGTGCAGCTCTGATACTCAACATCATCGACGGATCGGCGCTCTGATCAGATATGCTCACAGTCCACGCTGATATGACCCCGTATGCTGAGTTCGTGGAGTGCGATGGCGACCTCCGCAGCTTCTCAATGCAGCATGTTTTTGGATCATTCATTGCAGGCTTTGTTGTGGCGGTAATGATCTGGGTGACGTTTCAAGTTGACGACTGGCGGGTGTCCCTGGTACTGAAGGCCTACATGACCCTCAACTGGACCCACACCCGCGAAGCTTCCTATCTTCAGGAGATGCTCAACTCCCTCAAACTACCTTTTACCTTGGCTGACAGTCGAGAGCAAACTGCAGTGCAGCACATGGTGCCTGGCATCGTGGGCGCCTCGGTACCGCTGGCTGTGAGTTGCTTGCAAGGCCGCTCCCCTAATCGCCTCTATCCCCCAGGGAAGGAAGCAAGCTAGGAGACCACTCAGTGATGCACAAGCCAGTGAAGTCCTACTCGTGGACTAGTGTGGAGCCGTGGTTGCTCTGTCTCCGTGTTCCCTTCCGCCTCCTTTCCCTCCTTATAGCGCTCCTCCTTATATTACTCCCCTCGTCCTCCTCCTCCTCCTCCTCCTCCTCCTCCTCCTCCTTGCATAAACACCAGCAGACTTCGGAGCCTGCCATGCCAGGTTTCCAGAATGCGCCCAGTGAGCCACAACGTCTCTCGCTCCTCGCCCATCGGCTCATTTGACCTTCTGAATGGTCAGGTTTGCGATGTTTGATCTGTGCTGTCGGTGCATGGGTGACCAGATTGATCTCACCACGTCCCGTGCCCGACCTGTTGCTCCCACTCGCCTCCTCCTGTCCTCATTCCGTCGTTGATTGCCAGACAGTGGGGCCTCGAGTCAGGTGAGAGTCTTGATCCCTCCTGTGGGTGCGGTTACCATTCGTGGTACCGCGGGGAGTGATAGGCATCCCATCTGCAGCCTTCCCCCTCTCCTCTGTTGACCTTCCCTGCGACGACGACCTCCCCCTCCCTGGCCGAGTGGCCCCGAGCATCCCCTGACGGTGTGGACCACGCCTGCTGCTACCTCCTGCAGGCCGCGGGCTCGCGTTTGAGTTTGGAGCTCTCTCTTTATCTCGTTCTTTATTTCGTTATTTCTCTCTCTTTCTCTGTTCCGACCCACCCTTGAGAGCTTATCCATCATCCTTCGTCCTCCTGTTGCTCTCCATCGTGTGCCACTGTCTCGCCGTGAGTTTCGCCCCGCTGCTTTTGATCCAGACATTCGGGGAAGCACTGGGCCCACGGAGAGCTCACAGCCCTGCGCCTGTCTCCCGCTCCCGACTGGGAGCGCTCGAGTTGGTTTGCGTACGCTGGCATAGGTCATATTGGGGTTCGCAGAGAGGGGACTCCCTCTCTCTCTCTCTCCCTCCCTCTCTCCCCCTCACATCTCTCTCTCTCTCTCTCTCTCTATTTCCCTCTCTCCCTCTCTCTCCGTCTCTCTCCCTCTCTCTCGACATCCGCCAAGCTGCGCAGGCCCACCTTGGAATCCGCAGCCCATTCAGCGTGTGGCACGTACTTACGATCGGACATAGACACGGGAAAGACGCCCCAATCACCCTGCATTGACGAGTATGGCGAGCAGTGCCTGAAGTGTGCTGGCCTCCGCTGGTTTCGCCACCGATCGTCGATCTAGACATGTCGGCGAGAAACAACATAAGCGTTCGATCGACTGGACTGGGCCATTGACGCACCAAGAGCTCGTACGCATCCGCGATGGGGTTGAGCACCTCGGTCGGTCTGCATCGTCCCCCTGCCCCCCGAATAGTCGACGCCTCCGTCTCCACATGATGCTTCTCTTGGCATGAAGCTGGTTCTCGTAGAGCCATAGGTTGACAACCGACTTTTCGTGGAGCTCACATGCGTCTTAACTGCCACGCGAAGAGCGACGACAATACTGACAGCAAAAGCATACAGGCAGCAGTTCAATGATGCACTCCTCCACCCTGGCCCTAGTTGCAGGCAAGAGTGGGGGGGCGGCTGATCGGTGGGTCGGGCAGGCGGGGGTACGCGGAGGTGTTGTGCAAAACCAGTGCAAAAGGAATGTTCCCTGGACGACCCTGGGAGCCGAAATCGGCCGCTCGATACCGAACATTGTAAAAATCCTCCCATTACGCCCCAGGCATGCTAGCTCTGCCTCCTCCTCCTCCTCCTTATCCTCCTGGTGAGGAGCATCTCCTCCTCCTCATCCACCTCCTCCTCTTCCTCCTGCGCCGCCTCCACCTCTACCTCCTCCATCTCCTCCATCTCCTCACCTCCACCTCCTCCTGCCCTGAGCCCAGCGCGCTGTCACCCAGGAAGCCGTGAAAGGACAACGCCGAGTGTACGCCCCTGCGGCTGGCCCAGTCGTCCACCGCCACCCTCAGTGCGAGAGACTTCTCCTGCAGCAGCGACTGCCACGAGCAGAGTCGGTCCTCGGCAAGGCGACAGCAGGGCCACGCGGAGGCCAGATATGACCATAGCCTCTGCAGTGGCGGATCAGAGTGAGCAAGCATAGCGAGGTGTCGGCAGCCTGCGAGGCTCTGAAAACGCCCGCCGCGTGCGCCGCCGCATTTTTACACACTACAAAACGGGACCTTCGCAACCACATGTTTGACAAAGCAACGTGGGTGGATCGCGGGTGGGTCGTAGGTAGCTATCGGGTGGGTCGGGGTTGGACCGCGGGTGCGCGGGTGGGTCGCGGGCGGGTCGCGGGCGATGACGACGACAACAAAAACAGACAAGAAGAATCCGCGTCGCGGAATCCCACGTCAGCCACGCACCCAGGGCCGGTGTAAGAACGTTTGGCCCCCTCAATCTGGCTACCAGCAATGCGCATGGGAAGTCGTTGAGGCCACGCAACGGACCGAATCCACGAGATATTGGAAATCCACCCGCACGTGTCCAACACGTGATCGCCGTCGACACGAACTTTGACAAACCGATACCACCCACGAGACCGGCCCCTACCCGCACGAGCAACTCCAGCGTCTTGAAGTTCAGGGCGAATCTGTTTTTGCAATTTTCGGCGTCCCGTGGTTGTTAGCGGGTTTCTGGCTGTCAACGGGCGATCCTGGATGCAAAACGAGATTATGCTTTTGCAGCACGCGGCGTCGTCGTCGCGCGTCCGCGTCGTATTTGCGTCGTGGTTGCCGTGCCGCGCGACCTCGCGGCCCTGGGCACCATGTCTCTCCGGGAGACGCAGTCCGAACGGCCACGCGCACACATTGCGAGATCTGTGCTCCTGATTCCCACGGGTGAACACATGGTATCGACGAGCTCTTGAAACGGCGCCCGACATCATGGTGCTCCCGGAGCAGCAATGCCGACGTTTCCCCACAAGGAAACTTCAATGTCCAATGGGGGGCGAAGCCACTGTTTTGCTCTGGTTTCGCATCGATGTGCGAGGAACGCCCGAGGAAGAACCCAAGGTGGAGCCTCGAACCCCTTCGGTCACTGAGGCGCTCCTCATTAAAAAATGCTGACTTCGACAAATACGCCCCCCCCCCCGGCAGCTCTGGCCTGTCTGCATAACCGTCCCCGAGCTCCTTTACGAGCTCGTTCTTGTTGGCCTCGCGGTTCCAGCTCTGCAGCTGGCGCGTCTTGCTGAGGCGGCTCTCTGAGGCTGCCGAGAACTCGCTCATGTCCTCGGGGCTGCCGCCCAGCGTGTGCGAGGCGAATTGGGGTGTCGGATATGGAGGCAATGCAAGGCTAGGGCGGTCAGACGGCGTCGGTTGGGTCAGCTGCACTAAGATGACTTCTGCGTGAGCTTATGGGCGCATGGAACCCAATACGAACGGAAGCCCGCGGGAGGTACAAGGGGAGGAGTTGGAGGGGGAGCGAGAACGGGATGGGACTCTCCCCTCTTCTCCCTCGTCCTCGCGTTGCCGGCTCGGTTGTGGCAGTGGTAGAGCATTGACTCCTCTGGGCTTTGCTCACGTCTTATTTATCTCCTGCTCGCTATCGCCCTGCTTGCTCTCCGGCAACGATGTGTGCAGTCACCACCCGTCCGCCGAACTGTAGATCGACAGATACATCCACCGCAGCCACTGCGTGGTTGTCTGGAAGGGTTCCTTCCATCCCCAATCCTCCTGCGTGTTTGGGCCTCGTCTTGTCTACAACTACACGCAGCAAAACTGCACCTTGTTGCGGGGACCAGGTGTGGCAATCATAGTTAGATTTGGCGCGTCGGTCGGTCTGTGTGGACGGACACCGCTTCACGACTTACGATGGAAAGCGATGGTCGCGCCGACGACGTTGCGTGCCAAGCGTGGAAGCGATCACCACGTTTCACGGCGAAGCTTGGCGGCGGCCTCAAGAAAAAATCATAACACGAACAACCGTTTGACCCTCGGAAAGGGGAATCCGGCGCGAAGAACCACTCGCAAGCGCGGGGGATCGGATGACGAATTTGTTGTTGGGGCACGGGCGGGGGAGGGAAGCGGGCTGCGCGAGGTCGAAGCCCCCAGACATACGGCTGGTTTCGCTGAGCCAGGGGATGTGGGATGTTGGTGGGAAGCGGCCCAAGGGACGGGGCCTCGGCGATGGGCAGCGCGAGCAGCCGATGCTTCGCGAAAAAGGGACACGCACAGAACGGCACTTAGCGGCCGGGGCGCGGTACACGTTGGGAGCGCGATTGGCGGCACCCGACATGCACCCCGCCCCGCTGGCTAGGTGTAGTTCTATAAGTGTTCCGTTGTGTGCGGATGTCTCTGGCGAAACCAGCACGTACATAACTACACCTAGTGTCAGGCTAAGTGTAGTTCAGAACGCGCTGGATGTCTCGCGCGGGGCGAGCACGTACAGACCGGCACCTAGCGAAAGGGACGGGGTACAGGTCGGGTGCGTCGTCGCGCCCCGCCCGCAGAGTCAGGAATGCAAGGGCCGCTGAACCCCCCCTGCCAGCCTCCGGGCGGAGGTGTCTGAACGTCCCAGGGCTTTCCGAAGGAATTCCAACTGCGGCCTCCGCCCACATCGCTCCCCCTAACACAACACCTCGCCTGGTCACTATGTTCCCCATTCCCGCCCGCTGCTTTGCCCTCCCCCTCCCCCGTTCTTCCTCGACCTGCCGGCCTCCATTTCCCTGCGCGTTTCCCAATTGCCCCTGGCCCCTGCGTGGCGGCAAACGCCCGCTCCCTCGCAGCTGAAAGACCCACCTTGCGCTCATCCTCCAACCCACTCGTGAAGCGCCAGTTATGATTCCACAGTGACACTGGCAAGCGAAGTCGAAGCCCTGGCAAATCCGACAGGCGCGATCGGCCCCCTCGAACGGCGGGCGAACCAATACGTAAGACGATGTCGCAAAAGTAAGTTTGGAATTGGGGGATCGGCGCAAGAAGCTAATCCACTCGCCCAAAGTGTAGTTATGTGCCTGTCCGACGCAGAGCCGCGCGTCTCCTTTTCCTTTTCCTCCGTCTCCCTCCTCCCCCTTTCTACAATTACACAAAAGGAATACTATTCTACCCTCCCCCCGAAGACCCCGAGATCGTAGCCTGCCTCCCCCCACGCTATTTTAACACATCGGATCCCCTACAAGTGGTCGATCACATGTGTTTTTCACATCCGAACGTCGTCGGTGTTTCCAGAATGGCGCTCCCGCCACAGCGTTGGCTCGATGTTCTAGCCCTCGGTCCTTCCAAAGCATACTTACGCTGCAGCGCTGAGATCATTTCTTCGCTGAGGATATTACAGGTCGTGTTCCCTCGACAGCGTAGGCTCTCATTTTACGATTCCGCTCTTCCCAAACCATCTCTTCACAGATTTCGTCTTGCGTTATCTCTGGTTTCTTTCAGATGCTGCTGTCTAAATGCATCGTTTTCTCGACCAACGCTGGCTCTGATTATACGCCTCCCATGTTTCCACACCGTCCATTTACATGTCCCGTCCTGCGTCATGTCTGGTTTCCATCAGAGCCTGTTGTCAACAAGAGTCGTGTTCTCGACCACGCGACGCTCTGCCGTGCTCTTCTACGCCGTGGTACGCCGTGCACGGTCATGCATCTCGTACCCTCTCGGGACCATAGCCCTGCTCGAAATCCGACTGGGCGAATGGAGAGGAGGCCTACGCCATGGTAAGGGATGGGAGGGAGGGGTAGGACGTCAGCAGGAGCACACCCATGTGGAACTCGCACGTTCTCCTCCTCCCTCGTCCCCATCCACCTACTCCTCCCCTCTGTGCTTCTTCTACTCTCTCCTCTTTCTCCTCTCCTCCTATTACTCCTCGATCTCATCCTCCGTCTCCTCATCCCCGCCGTCTCCGTCGCCTCCTCCGCAATTGCAAATTATGAACCTTACTCGCCTCTCTTCTCTGACTCTGCCCGGAAGATGTTCGGCCCTCTCCGCGTACAGGTTTAACATACAGGTTTTCAAACAGTGTTGTTTGTATGGGGAATGCTCCGATTGTTCCCATCCCTGCGTCGCTGGGCTGTCGTTTGAATAGAGCACTGTGCTTGCGTCTCCTCCTTCCCGCTTCCCTTCTTGTATCTCTCTCTCTCTCTCTTTCTCTTTCTCTTTCTCTTTCTCTTTCTTTCTCTTTCTCTCTCTCTCTCTCTCTCTCTCCCCCTTTTGCCCACCTCCGTTGTGGTTCTCGTTTTGAATAGAGCTCTGTGGTCGCGTCCCTCCTCCTCCTTTACGCCTCCCTCTGCGTCTCTCTCTCTCTCTCTCTCTCTTCCTCTTCTTGTCTCGCACCTCTCTCTCGTACTTGCCTGCGAACTCGCCATCCCTGGGAGGGGGGCGCTCCTATCTGCGAAACTGTCGCCTCTTTCGAGGGCTGCTGGGGGTCAGCACTGTATCGCCAAACCCAGATTCAGATTAGACCTCGCCGTCCCTAGGGGGGCTGCGATCTGCGAAGCTGTCGCCACTTTCGAAGGCTGCTGGGGGGGGGCAACACGGTGTCGCCATACGCGGACTCAGGTTCGACCTCGCCATCCCTTGGGGGGGGGCTGCGATCTGCGAAACAGTCGCCAGTTTCAGGGGCTGCTGGGGGCGCAGCACGGTGTCGCCATGCGACGATTCAGCTTCGACCTCGCCATCCCCTCTGGGGGGGCTGCTATGTGCGAAGCTGTCGCCACGTTCGAAGCTTGCTGGGGGGGGGGGTCAGCACAATGTCGCCACACCCAAAATCAGGTTAGAGTTCACCGTCCTTGGGAGGGGGGGGTGCTGCGATGTGAGAAACTGTCGCCACGTTCGAAGCCTGCTTGGGGGGGTCAGCACAATGTCGCCACACCCAGATTCAGGTTAGACCTCGCCATCCCTAGGAGGTGTGGGGGTGCTGCGATGTGCGAAGCTGTCGCCACGTTCGAAGCCTGCTGTGGGGGTCAACACAATGTCGCCACACCCAGATTCAAGTTAGACCTCGCCAATCACGGGGGGCTGCTATATGCGAACCTGTCGTCTCTTTCGATGGCTGGGGGGGGGTACAGCGACGCCATACGCGGACCAGATTGTACTTTGCCGTCCCTGGGGGACTGCGAACTGCGAAACGGTTGCCACATTCGAAGGCTGTTGGGGGGCAGCACACTGACGCCATACGCAGACTCCGATTGGACCTCGCCATCCCCGGGGGTGCTGCGGTCCGCGAGAATGTCGCCACGTTCGTGGGCTGCTGGGGGGCGGCAGCACAGTGACGCCATGCGCGGACTCATATTAGACCTCGCCATCCCTGGGGGTGCTGCGGTCTGCGGAACTGTCGCCACGTCCCGGGGGTTGCTGGGGGGGCAGCAGATTGGCGCCACACCCAGATTCAGATTCGACCTAGCCATCCTTGGGGGCTACGGTGTGCGAAGCTGTCGCCGCGGTCAGGGGCCGCCGGGAAGGGGGGCGGCAACACAATGAGATTAGACCTCGCCGTCATTGGGGAGTTCTGGCCTGCGAAGCCGTAGCCACTTTCGAGGGCTGCTGTGGGAGGCCAACACAGTGACGCCATACGTAGAGCCAGATTAGACCTCACCATCCCTGGGGAGCTGCGATGTGCGAAACCCCCCCCACTTCCGAGGGCTGCTAGAGGGTCCAACGGAGTGACGTCTTACGCAGCACCACACTCGCCCTCACCACCCCTGTCGGGCTGTTATATGCGAAGCTGTCGTCACTTGCACCCCTGGGGCGCACACCATGGTGGGGCCTCCTTTCCCAGACTCAGATTAGGCTTCGCCACCCCTGGGATGCCGCCCGTCGGAGGGCCTACCCAGAGTCAGATTAGGATCTCGTCATCCCTGCGGAGGGGGGGGCTGCGATCTGCGAAACTGTCGCCACGTTCGAAGCCAACTGTGAGATCCAGCGCAGCGGGGTCTTACTCAAATTCAAATTGGACCTCGCCATTCCCTTGGGGGGGGTGCGATCTGCGAAATTGTCGCCACTTTCGAGGGCTGCTGGGTGTCGAGCACGGCGGGGTCCTGCCGACATTCAAACTGGAATTCGCCATCCCCCGGGGGGGGGCTGCTATCTGCGAAACTGTCGCCTCTTTCGAGGGCTTCTGGGTTCCGGCATAGTGACGTCATGCGCAGGCTCAGACTAAACCTTGTCATCCTTGTAGGTCTGCGATCTGCGAGATCGTCGCCACTTTCGAGTGCTGCTGGGGGGGTCCATCATAGCGACGTCCTACGCAGACCCAGACTCGACCTCACCATCATTGTGGGGGCGCGAGCTGCGAAACCGTCACCACTTTCGAAGGCTGCTGTGGGAGGGGGCCAGCACAGTGACGCCATACGCGGACTCAGATTACACCTCGCCATCCCTGGGGGCCTGCTATCCGCGAAGCCGTTGCCACGTTCAAAGGCTTCTGGGGTCCAGCATTGTGACGTCATACGCAGATTCGGCTTATTCGTCATCATCCCTGCGAGGCTGCGATCTGCGAAACAGTCGTCACTTTCGAAGGCCGCCTACTGCTGCCCCGCTGACTTTGCCGCTCTCCATCTGCAGTGTCCCTCATAGTTGCCGCCCTTTCCCCGTCGAGCGTGAGGCTGGAGTACCTCCATCAAGCCCTTGCCAACGATCGGTGTCCTGCGAGTTGCGCGGCTCGTGGGCCTCTTAAGTAACGCTTGCAGGAAAGGTCACTCCTTGCCACGTTATCACCCCCTTTCATACAGGCTGCCTAGCTATTCTGGCCACTCATTGCGCAAAGGTCGGGTACATCGTCTGGATAACCTCCGTGTTTCAATATGGTGTTCCCGCTGCAACGACGGCATCATTGTCGGAACGGCGCTTTGCTCCATTCGTTCATAATGACCCGAGTTTTTTTTTTACCGCTGTCGCCCCCCGCTTTTCCCCTGCTCGGCCTTCCCCTGGTCCTCCTGCTCCTCCCGCTCCTTCCACTCCAACTGCTACTGCTGCTGGTCGTCCTCGTCCTCCTGCTTCCTCATTATCATATTTCTTCTTTTGCTAATCCTCCTGCTTATCCGCCACCTCCTCGTCTTCCTCCTCCTCCTCCACGTCCTCCTCCAGTGTACACAGCTCCCTGCTTTCCGATTGCACATCGCAAGACAGAACACGATGGGGTCATCTTTGGAGCTCCAGGTCCGCTATGACACGCGTCGGCGGACAGACATAACAGATCACAATGGGAAGGGATGTGTGGGAGAGGTAGGATGTCAGCGCGAGCGCGCCTAGGTTGTCGTCCTTCCTTCCCCTCTGTCCTCCTCTCCTTTCTCATACGCCTCCTCCTCCGTTTCCTCCTCCTCCTCATCTTCCTCCTCCTCCTTCTCCTCCTCCTCCTCTCTTCTCCCACCTCCCCTCACCTTCCCCCAGGCCAAACCTTCGATGTCGTTGGCGTCCTTCTGGAACTCCTCGATCCACGACCGCAGCACGCCCGCGACCATCTCCAGCAGCCCCAGCTGCCTCTGGGCTAAGTTGAGGGCGGCCCGCACGCCCTCGTGGAACGCCTTTGGGGGGAGGGGTCGGGTAGATCTGCCGATGGGGGGGCAGGGGGATCCGCGATGTCGAAACGCTGCCCGGATCCTGCAGAGATTCTACACCAGTACACCTCATGGTGGCCTGTAAGACCGAGCGAGCGAAAGAGAAGCCTTCTGAGCAGTGGGCTGCCCCAGTGACGTGTGCGGCTGGCGAGCAGGATCCTTTGATGGGACACAGGCCCGGCCAGCGCCCGAGGAAGGTGCGCGGCCCCGTATGGCGTTTGGGGCCAGCCGCTGGGCTCTGATGAAGAGGCGGAGGAGGAGGAGGAGGAGGAGGAGGAGGAGGAGGAGGAGGAGGAGAAAGAGAACTATCAATATCCTCCTCGTTGAGAATAACTGGTGCTGGAATCCGCCCCCTCCCACCCCCCTCCAGCACTCGGAAATCCGGAAACGACCCACGGCGGCGTCCGTGGGCCCCGCCACCGCGTAGTCTGCGCGCCCCGCGGCGTGCGGCGGGCGTGGCGGCGGAAGGGGACCGCGTCTAGCGGCTGCGGAGAGAAAACTATCCGAGAGGCAGGGGAAGATAGGGTCACGAACTTCTGCGCAGATAGCGTGTCGCGGCGGCGGCCCGGGCGACACGCTGCCTTGCAAGCGACACGCTATGCCCTGCAAGCGGGCAGCGTGCCGCTCTGCTCCGTGGGGCGGAAGGCTGGGAAAGGCTCGAGACGTTCTGACGCTTGTGCATCGGGGCGTGGGTCGCGTGCCGTGCCGAGGCGTGGGGGGCCAGAAAGCCGAAGCTCCGTACCATAAGGAGATACAGGAGGGGGAGGAGAGGAGAAAGGTTTGGTGGTGCGCGGTGCGGTGCTGCTCGCGGATCGACTACATATCCTCAGCCTGCCGGGCGGTCAGACCGAGCACTGTCGTGCCGAATCCTGCTCAGAAGTTCGCCGTGGACAGAATTGATCTCCTCACGCTCAGGGCTGTTTTGGGGCCCCTCCGCCCGCAGCAGGGAGCCCAGTGGCCGACCCAAGGAAAGGAGAGCTGCCGCGTGGGCACAAAACCATTGAGCAAGGCGGGCGAGATCTTCTCTCCAATCGCGCGTAAAAAGACAAAGCTCACACAACCTCTAAATTTTCGAAGCCGATTGCCCGCCATCACTTGGACGTCTCTTCCCCGTGCACTCTTCGGTGCCGTGCGTGCTTTCTGTGTCGCAAGGTGGTCGCGCGTGCTCCTGGATAGTCCAGACTTTCTGGCGCTGACCTCGCTGAGAGCAGTGCACACCTCCGAGCGACACCAGGAGCTTGCAACAGGAAGCAGCGCGCGCAGCAGGCGCGCCGCCGCCCGTCAGCGGCCCCTGGCCGGGCCAGCGGGCCGAGCGGCCTGCACCGCACGCCCGCTGTGCGTCTGCGGGCCGCCGCGCTGTACGGCCTGCCGGTCGGAGCAGACACCCTCCCACGCCAGCTTCGGTCACGAGGAGGAGTGACCAGGGTGACCCCAGGCAAGAGCGACCCTCGGTGCGCGACTTGCGGGGAGCGCGGGAGGGCCAAACCCGAGCAGGGAGGCCGCTACTATCAGCCATCTGGGGACTCCAGTGCGCCCGCACCACAGGAGAAGCAACACTCGTGCCCCTGATCCTTTCGGAGGGGGCCCAAGCTAGGATGGCCAAAATCATCAGGGATAGAAGGTCTTCCTTGCAGATGGGTCAGACGAAACCACCTGTATGTTTAGGGATATGCCTAAAAACCGTGGACCGAGTACGTAGGCCACGAATTCATTATGGTTTTAAGGAGTTGGTGTTGTATGATGGTTAATGACCCAAGATCGCCCCAGCGAAAAGTCACTCTTACACGTAGCCGGCCCCTGCGCTCGGGCACTGGAGCCCTCGTGGGCCCTGGAGGCATGCACGACCTCAACCGACCGTGCGGTGCGGCGGCACGAGCCTGAGCGCAGCGCGTTCTCGGGAGCGTGCTGGGCCTGTCCGCACGAGCCGCGTCGCACACTCCTCTTGAGCGGCAGCGGACTCGCGCGCGGCGACGGGGCGGAGTCAGTCAAAGCGGCGAATCGGGCGCGCGCGACCGGGCCCTCAAGCTGGATCGCTTTGGATGCCGCTTCGAACACTCTCACGGCGCGCCGAGTCGATTTCCACCTGGGCCGCCTCGAACTTTCACAGCAGGGCTTGGATTACAAGGGCAAAAAGCTGCAAAGAGCTGCAAAAGCACACACGCTTTCGGAGGTCCGCGCGGATGCCCTAGGTCCGCGCTGGACTCCCCCCCCCCGCCCCTGGCACGATTCTTTCTTCGGTAAAGGGGCACGATAGGGGGGGCTGGCTCAGGGGGGTGGGGAACATCGACCTGGAATCGGTGGTACATCGCCGATCGGTGGGCGATAGGTCCCTGATCGCGAATCCTGACGCTCCTGGGCGGGGCGGGCTATCGGGCCCCAATCGACGATGAAGGGGCGATTGGGGGTCGATTCACACACCCCTCCCCACCCCTGATAGGGGTCGAACAGGTATACAGGTCCACATCCTTCCTCATCCCTCCCCCCTCCTCCTCTGATTGATCCCCCCTTCCCTGGGAGAGGGGGAGGAACGAGGCAGACCCCTTCGGTCGACCGCGGAGGCTGCCTCGACACCTTCCTACTGGGCTCCGCCGCGAGCCGCACGATCCGCCTCCGCGCCCGTGCCCAGCGAGACATGCAGCGCGAACTAGAGCACAAGGATGCGCGGCAAGGATGCGAGGCCCTGGGACGCCCAAACTGCAGCCGAAGATTGAAGTGGGACGCAGCGAAAAGGTAAACGTACCGCCAACCTCTGGCCCTCTTCGGGGGTGCATGTTGACGAGACTGTGAGGCGAATGCCGCCGTCACGACGGGGGAAGGGTAGCGGTATCGGCACCTGTTCCTCCATTGAGCAAGGATACCCTTGGAAGGCTACGGTCAAGAATTTTGGGACAGCGTGTCGCGGCGGCGGCACCAGCGACACGCTTTGCCTTCCAAGCGGATGGCGTGTCGCTCCGCTCCGCTCCGCGGGGCGGGAGGCTGGGAAACACTCAAGATGTTTACGCTGGGGAACTGAGACGTGGATAGCGTGTCGCGCCACAACGTGGTGGGTCAGAACCGGCGGAACGACACGCTGGGCCGAAGTTATTGACCGTACGGTCTGCTACCCCGAGTCTCTTGGTCTACGCCACGGAATCATCTACACAAACACCCGCTGACGAGTTCTCCCTGTGCCTTAAAGGATAGTGGCGGTGTCTGAAATCGCTGGATCTGAATTGTGATTTGTACACCGCCATCCTCCCCGTGAAACCCAGAGGCAATCCACTGGAAGGTGTCTGGTGGCAGGGTCCGCATGGCGCCACCACGCCCAATTCGGCACACCCCTTCATTACACGTTTCGTGGTCCCATGGGGAGCTCCACCTAAAGCCCCAGTGGCAGGGTCCGTCGGAGGCTGACTGCCCGTCGGTGGGCCGCGAGGGTACGGCGGCCGGCGGCCGCCGCCACCTGTCAGACTGCCGCCTGTCCGCACAAGCCGCGCTGAGGGAGAGGTCCCGCTGCTGCTGGCAGAGGCAGAATGGGAGCGAACAGAGGCCGCGAAAGGGCAAATCTGCCGACCCTTCGGCGTGTGGAGGAGGCTGTCGTCGTCGTCGTCGTCGTCGTCGTCGTCGTCGTCGTCGTCGTCCTCGTCGTCGTCGTCGTCGTCCTCGTCGGCGGTGGCGGCGGCGGCGGCGGTGTCAGCCTCAAGGAAAGAAACAAGGATACCGCTTCCCCGGGGGTCCGGCGGGTCCCAGGGGAGGAGGGTCGCCAGCGGGGGGTCCAGGGGAGATCCCGCCTCCAAGGTCTGCGCCATCGGCCGCAAGGCCTTCGCAATAATTGCTTTTCCCAACCAGGTGATGTTGGGTCCTTGCTTTGAAGAGACAGCGCGCCGCGTCTCCTCTCCTCTCCTCTCCTCTCTTCCTCCTCCTTCTCCCTCCTCCCATCCCCGCCATTGCCCAGGTCAATCATTTCGGCACACCCCTCACACGTTGCGCAGCCCCAAAGGAGGTTCCACCAGAGGCCCACATGGAAGCGCCCGCATGGCGCCACCGCCGAATTGTGTCACATCACACGTTTCGTGACCCCGTAGGGAGCTCCACCAGAGGCCCAAACAGGCAGCGCCCGCATGGCGCCACCGCCCAAGTGTGGCACATCCCTTACATGTTTCGTGGCCCCGTAGGAGGCTCCACCGAAGGCCCCAAATGGAGGCGCCCGCATGGCGCCACCGCTCGCACGTTTCGTGGCCCACAGGGAGCCCCACCGAAGGCCCAAAAGGTAGCAAAAGGTAGCAAAAGGTAGCGCTCGCATGGCGTCACCATTCAACTGTGGCACGCCCCTCACGGAGACTATCAACAGGCTGAAGCAAGACATCTCAGAGGAGGACGTGCTGCCGAGCACCTTCCTCGAGGCGGCCAGCTAGAGGACGGGCCTTGTGTACGGTGAGGCGAAAGCCTTGGCGACGAGGAGTGTGGTTCAACCGAGATGGAGCATAGTGACTGCATCCCTTTAAACCGACAGCGCAAGCCACAGTTCGATCTAACCGCGTGAAGCGAGGGGGGAAATCTCAGGAGCATCATCGAATTGAGCAACAGTCCGCGTCGAAACGCTCCCTGCCAGGCGGGAAAAGCTGGTCGGGACCTCAATCGGCGAAACGCTCACTGCCAGGACGGAAAAAGCGGTCGGGACCCGAATTGTCGAAACGTTCACTGCCAGGACGCAAAAACGAGTGAGGATCGAGCAAGGACTTTCGTGACGGCGAAACGGTGCTCTACATCGGTACGTCTGTGAGCGACGCTGCTGGCCTCGTGGCAGGGCCAAGTCTGGGCCGCGCCAGAGTAGAGGCTACGTTATCACGCCCAGCATCGCAAGATGCACGGCACCCTCAGGAGGAACGAAATTGAACGTACTACGCCGCTCAGGCCAAACCACGAGGAGAGCGGGGTATCGTTGCTGCCGTTCTCTGTGTCCAAGAAGACGGCGCTCGGCTGCTACATCCCGAACGTGAGGCGCTTCTTGGAGCTTGCGTGGGAGCGGGACCTTCCGGTTATGTCACGAGAGGAAATCGACAATTCGGTTCTGGCGTACCTGGACCGCTTGGTGGAGGACGAGGAGGTGGGCCCCCACAGAGGCGGCTTCGTGGTCAACGGCCTGTCCTACGTCTGGCTGGAGCTGCCCACGGTGCTGCCGAAATCCAATCGTGCGCTACGTGCTTGGCATCGCCTCACGGTGGCCGGTGAGGGTGGTTCTCAGCCGCTGGAGCTGTGGGCGGTGCTGAGCGAGGCCATGAGGCTGGCGGGCAACATCGAGGCGGCCGACGCGGCGGACTTGGCGGTGTACGCCTATCTGCGGTCGGCCGAGCTGTTCAGTTTGCGGGCGCCGGACGTGATGGACGTTGAAGATCCTGACCAAGCGGGAGGACGAACTGTGGCCCTACGTGTTGGGGTTACGGAGAGAGGCGAGACCACCAAAACGGGCGTGAGGCAGGGTGTGCTCATCGACCGATCCCACGTGGCGAAGATGTTGCTCGAGCGTCGAGCTGCACGAGCTCCGTCGGAAAAGGTGTTCAGCTGTTCGGTCGAAGGCCACCGCATGGCCATTGAGCAGGCCTGCGCTGACGTGGGTGTGCCAGCCTTCCCGCCACAGGCCGCCCGCCATTATGGGCCCAACTATGATGCGGCGACGGTCTACCATCCGGCGTGGACGATCCAACGTCGAGGGCACTGGGCATCCGCACGCGCTGGTCGCCGCGAGGTCAGCACTAGCAGAGGAGATGCTGCAACGCGGAGCCGATCTGTTGTCCAAGCACTTCGAGCGCCCGGAGAAAGCGCGCGAGTAATTCTGAGTCCGGACTTTGGCAACATATGTGGATTCTTGCACCTGACTGTTATACTTGTCTTCGGCGGACGGCTCGAGGACGGCATGACAGAGCGAAAGAGGCCCACCCACCCAGCCCAGGCGCCCAGTCCAGCCAGGCGCTTTAAGCGTTGCAAGCGGTGGTGCGGACTTGTGCTCTGTCGTCTCAGGCCTCTGATCGATCGTCTGGCCTGCAACGCCCCGAGCTGACCAAACAGAGGTGCCGCCCTTGGCACCATCTCGTTCGTGTGTCGGGATTTGGGTGAAACAAACAGCGGTTTTTTCTTGGATGGCTGGTGCCACTTCCTCCGCCGCTCCTTCGCTTGGGTGATGCTTGTCTGGATGGGGAACCTCTAAATGGCAGCTTTCGGCCTCTGGACGCCCTGCATGGAGAAAACACCGGAGGAGTACCCAGACCCTTCTCCATGCGAGGAGGAATAGTTGTATGAACGCCCAGTACCAAAGAACGCATTGCAAATAATGCGCGATCTGTGTGGCCCTGCACTGCGCTGTCCCTCCCAAGAGCCCACGAAAAGGGAGACAATTGCCCAATGCGCAGCCCCCAAAGAAACTGCGAAGTCTCGGCTGCGTCCACGGACACCTCCACTCCGCTGAACCTCCCAAAATTCCACCAATATGGAGACACTTGCGCAGCCATCTGGGGATCCCTGAGGTCTCGGCTGGGTCCGCGTACACCTCCACCCCGCTGGACCTCCCAGAAGCCCACTAAAGCGGCAACAGTTGCGCAAAACGCAACCACCCAGGGAGCCGCGACGCCCCGGCTGTGTCCGCGTACACCTCCACTCCGCGGGACCTCTAAAGAGCCCACGAAACAGCCGACAACTGCGCAGTTCGCAGCCACCCGGGGAGCCGCGAGGTCTCGCCAGATGCCCCGTGGGACCCCACTCCGCGGGTCCTCCCTGGAGCCCACGAAAGTCCAGACAGTTGCACACTTGGCAGCCCCCCGGGGAGCCGCGAGGTCTCGCCAGATGCCCCACTCCGCGGGCCCTCCAAGGAGCCCACGAAGGTCGAACCATTTGCACAATTGGCACCCGCTCAGGGAGCCGGCGGGATGTGGGCGGCAAGCAGGAAGCAGTAAGCATGCAGCTAGGAAGCAGGATGCAGGAGGGAGGTTGGAAGATCAGAAGGATACGCGCGAGCAGCGCTCTTTCCGTCGGGAGGGTTGTTCAACCCGAGTTGTTTTTGGGCGGTCCCAGGTCCCAGCGAGGCCCCTCGCTGGCCTAAAATGGCCATGGACGTCCGTCCTGTTGTGACTTTGATACGACGCGAGCGTGTCTGGAGAGGAAGGGGCCAGGGGGAGAGTAGGCAAGATACGCCTGACTTTATCCCAGGATATGCGTGCGCTTGCTCAATACAGAGGTTTGAGATGTGGGCCCTTAGCAGGGACACCCGACGAACACGGTCGGACGCGAACAAGTTGGCATGCACGCGCGGACCCTGACGAACACGACGAAGCCTCAGCTCGATTGCATGCCTGCTCCTCCCTTCAATCCTCCTCATCATGCCATTCCGAGGGTCGGATGCGCCGATGGGAATGAAGAGGTAGGTAGATATATGAAGTAGGACGGCGTTAAACGTAGATTGGGTCTCCGCCCCTCCCCTCTCAGAGGAAGGAACATGGAACGCCGCTCGATGATTGAAGTAGAAAGTCGCCTAACGTAGATCCGATGTTCGACTTCGAGAGGACATGTTCAACGACAGGTGGATACTCGTCCTCCTCCCGCTCCTTCGCTCCGCCCAAACGCGGGAGATCATGCCTTCACCGCGCTACTGCTGGCTGGCGCCGTGTCGGGCGCGGCGTCCTGACGGCGAGGGGGGCAGAAGCATCAGGACACGAAGAGAGGGAGGACACATGGAGTAGGGGGACCCTATCGGAGCCCTCCAATTCTGATCCCCCTCGGACCGCCCTGCTCCGCGACGCGTTGGCGCCCCGCAGCTTGCTGCTGCGGGAGTGCTGTCCTCGCACTGCTCGCACTGCCAGGGGTGGAGCTCCGGCCGTAAGAGGCAGACGTGTTAATGCAGCGGCTGCCGGTCACGAGCCAGCACGGCCTCGCAGGCTGCGGTGGTGGCCGCTGTTGACCGAGTGTGTGCTCGTGCCCGCACTTGTCGACAAGATCGACTTGCCAACGGAGCGCCAACTCGTCCCCCTGACCTCGCACCACTCCGTTCCCTCCCCGATATCACGGTGCTCCTGCACCCACGTCCGTCCCCGTCCCTCCTGATCTCACGGCGCCCTCCAAACCCCAGTTCTCGCTAATGCCTGGACAAGGACCACAGGAGCAGGGGACGACCCAGTCTTCTTCCTCTCCCCTGCCTTTCCCTCTCCTTCTCCACCTGGTGTGCCTCCCCTCCTCCTCATCCTCGTCCTCATCCTCCTCTTCTCTGCAAACCCATTCCCTTGCCTTTCCTGCCTGTGCCCTGTCTTGCCAACTTGTCCGTCGACCAATCACATCGCTCCTGGGACCTGGCAGCCAGCGCACACCCTGGGTCGAAGGGGGGCCCCGCGAGCGAGCAGGCAGGGCAGGAGGAGAACGAGGGGGGGGGTGGGGGTGGAGGGGGGGCGGGGGCAGGGGCAGGACGACGGCGAGCAGCAGAAGCGGCCGTTGAGGAATCACCAGGAGGAAGGGATCGGGCCGACGGGATTGCCGCTGAGGCGACGATCAGCAGGCAGCAAATCCGTCGAGAAGCACCAGAACGGCGAGCAGCAGCAGCAGCAGCAGCAGCAGCAGCAGCAGCAGCAGCAGCAGCAGCAGCAGCAGCAGCAGCAGCAGCAGCCGACTCGCCTGGACCCCTGCCCTCGCGCAGCCACCCCGCCCTCGCGGCGGCATTGACCAGAAGACCGCCTCGTGCGCGAGAGACCGAGCGCGAGGTACAGTCAAGACCCCCTAAACCCGCAAACGCTAAACCAGGACATCCAACACCACTCGAAACCAGTTCTCCGGTGCGGGAACGCCCCTCTCGTGGAGCGAGGGACGCGGCCCGAGAACGCGCCAAATGCTGCGGTGCGAAGGGCGCAGCGCTGGCCCCCGAACGGCAATGCGTTCCAGGATGGACGGCAACGGTGCCGCAAGCGAGTCCAAGGCCCCGCAAGGTCGTTGTCAGCGCCGGGAGCTCCTGGGGGGACAGAGCGCGCCAGCGAGCCAGACGGCGTCAAAAAACAAAACTGCGCTGCAACACTCCCTGAATAAACCCAGACGTTGGCACTAAAACCAGCCCCCCCCGTTGACTAGAGATCGACTGGAACTCAGCGCTGCAGCAAAAATATTTTGGCGAAGGGCCCAACCATTTGCAGGTGTGACTGCAGCATGGCAGGTTGCAAGAAGGGGAGAGCTCCCTATGTGGCCACCGAACGTGTGAGGGTGACACAAACGGGCGGGGCGCCGCCTGGCGGGCGTTGCCACTTGGGTCTTTGGTGGAGCTTACGGGGCTACGAAGAGCGCGAGGGGTGCCGCCGAATGTTGACGCGGCGGCGCTGCGCGGGCGCTGTCATTTTGGGCCTTCAGTGGAGGTGGTTGTGTGAGGGGTGAGCCAAAATGGGGCGGCGGCCCCATGCAGGCGCTGCCGCTTGGGCCTTCCTTGGGGCCCCCAATGGGGTCACGAAGTGTGTGAGAGGTGTGCCAAAATGTGGCGGCGGCGCCGTGCGGGCGCTGCCATTGGGGCCTTCGGTGGAGTTCCTTATGGAACCACGAAGCGTGTAGGGGTGGGGGCCGCAATGGGGCGGCGGCGCCATGTGGGTGTTGCCATCTGGGCCTTCGGTGGAGCTCCCTCTGGGGCCACGAGACGTGTGGGGGGTGAGCCAAAACGGGGCGGCGGCGCCATGCGGGCGCTGCCATTTGGGCCTTCGGTGGAGTTCCCTATGGGGCCACGACACGTGTGATGGGTGTGTTGAAATGCGCACGCGGAGTGCAGAGGCAGGCATGGGAGGAGGGAGGAGGGCAGCGGGAGGGGGCAGGAGGTCAGGAACGCGGGGCGCTGTCTCTTCAAAACGAGGACCCAACACCACATAATGGTTAGGAGCATCTTGCGCGACAGTCGCCAGGCCAGCCGCAACTGGCGCATGCAGAGCTCGGGAAATCCCATAGCCGACCGACAGCCCCAGCGATTGCAGCCGCATGCGTCTCCCTGCCCGCTGGTCCGCCGCGGCTCGTAGAATGTGACCAACGTGGGTGACCGCAACTCTCGCGCCCGTCGGACTTGGCGCTCAAACGTCTGCTTTTGCAGAAATGGGGCCCATACCTGCGATGTCCTAATTTTGTTCGATACGCCCCCCCCCGCCCCTCCCCCCGGCCGCAAATCCCGACCCTTTTCCCAGGGAGTGTTTTCCATCCGGAGTCGTTTGTCATAAAAATCTGGGAAACAGCGAAGGCCCCTAGGGGCTGAAGACGGATAGCGCTGCCTCCACCACGTGGCCCCTAAAGGCCATAGTCACGATGCCCCCAGAAATCCTGCTCGCCCAGAATTTCCCCGCATTGCCCCAGCCTTCGTGGGCCGCGGCGCTGCGGTACCTGAACTCCTCCATGCTAGATAGATTCCAAGCGCAACGGCTACCGAGATACCTGGCACGAGGGATAGCTTTGCCACCGTCGAATTCCTGCCTGAAGCATTTCATCGCCCGATGGCTTGCAAAGACGCCGGCTCCTCGCTAGCCCCCATCAAACCCCCTCGACGATGTCGGGCCGAAGAGTTCCCTGGGTTCCTGCAGGGCGCCTCCTCAGCGCCCTCGAAAATCAGGATCACTCCAAAAGTTCCCGAGCGCGCGTGCATGGGCTGCGCGTCAGCTTGACAGAACAATTTGTCAATCGCATGCCCACGTGCTCGTGTTGTGGAAGATGCAAAAGCGTCCGTCACGTCGCGCAGGTTGGTCAAGGGTGGCATGCGCTGTGCGCGGTAACTGAACCCCATGCAGAGCTGCACGGCAGTCGCAGCCTCACGACGACGACGGGCGAGAAATCCGTGAAACTCAGCTGGCCACCTAACTCCCTGGGCGTGCATGTTTTTCATCAGCGACCCCCCATACAAACCCGTCCAATACGGGCACGTCATGTTGATCAATATGTCCGAAAGTTCTCCAACTTCGCCGTTAAACTTAGCGATGGGCATGGCCCAGGCGAGGTCCCAAAAAATTGACGCGCGACCGATCATGCGACGTGCCGCGTGTAGATCTTCCAAAATCTGCGCCGACGCTGTCATGCTAGTATCACTGATCGGGGCGCAGCCAAGACCTACGTGCTCCTCTGGCCCCACGGAGAGGTGCCTCGGGTCGGCGGCCATTAGGCGGGTTTCTCGTCGAAGGCGAACCTTCATCTCCTTGAGCCCCTGCAACTCAGGGCCCTCCTGCTCGGGCGCAATCGGCGCTGGCGAGATGCTCCTCAAGGGCCCCCTGGTTCCAAGAAGCTCGGGAATGCAATATTATGGGACCACGTCTCTCGCACGGCGTGATGCCCTGCTGGCGGTAGCACCTGTCGAACTTGGCGATGTCTCTTCGCTCCGGGGTAAATCTGGGACGGCGATGAACCCTGCTTACTCGCGCCAACGAAAGCGAGGCCCGTCACGCTCACAGAGTTCGAAGAATCAAATAGCTGCAACCCCTCGGGAAATTCCGGGCGGCGTCGCACTAGCTCACGTCGACGCTGTCTGGGGGCGACCAGTTCTGGATCAGGATGCGTTCGCAAAGTCTGGAAGTGTCGCAAACCGGCGTCGTTGACCGCCGTCGTCCACAATTCCCACGCCGCATCAACGTGGCCCAGCTGGACCAGGGAGGGGGGCCTGGAGCAACAGCCGCTGCATCACCAGCTCGAGATCATCCAGAAACGGTTCTCTGCCTTGGCCCCGCTGCACAGCCGCGGCCAGCTTGCCCCGATCCCGCCTCGGGCGTGAGGCCGCTTGGCTCCCACATCTGCGGGGCGCCGAAAATCGCACAAACAACGGCACGTGATCTCGTGGCGCTCGACTCGGAATCAATTGTAAGCGGCGAGCTGGTGGCCAAAGGACACGACATGGTATGATTTGCCCTCGAACCGCACTTGGTACGAAGATGTGGTCAATCGTGCTGCTGATGGCTCTGTTGCCATAACACGACGGGCCTCCGAACCTATCTGCTGTTGCTGCGTCGTACGTATCCATAGGCCCTGGGATCTCATCCTGAACCATATTCCCCACGATGTTATGTTCCCCATACGGGCCCGCTAGGAGCCGCTCCTCCTCCCTCCAGTCGCACTGCGATGTTGGGGCCACCGTCGGGAAACCACCTCTACGACCCATAGGCGCATTGAAATCCCCCAGAAGAATCGGGCTCGAACGTGTCGGAACAACCCTGAGCTCCTTAGTGGCCCACTGGGGTAACTGAGTGGAGCCCTTCTCCAAGGCCCCTCGTTTCAGAGCAAGTTCGTCGCTCAGCGGCGGCGTGTATGTAGTGGTCATTGTGAGGACCACGCACTGGTTTCTCAATCTGATCGCGAGCCCCCGCCCCTGCAATGTCGCAGGTGGCGTGGTCGCCGCTCGAATATGTTTAGCCCTGAAGAAACCTCCGATCATGATCGTGCATCCCGCGCGCTTGTTGGTGCAAGGGCCCTTGTCCCATCCCGCGTGGAACGCCATGGCCCTCCCCAGATACATTATACTTACCAGAGCCCCCGAACTTGCCCTCAGCTGAGTCCCTGGCAATACTACCAGATTCGCTCCAAGAGTCTGCCATATATCTATGATGCGCTGCGGCTCGACGAGCGACATAGGATTGCACAGCACCGCCCTCAACGCGGAAAGCCGCGCTGCCGCGGGCCTGGCGGGCGCACTCGACGCCCGCGCCATCATCCCAGGCGCTGATCTCTTGGCGGACCGAGCGCGCGAGGAGAAAATAAACGTCGGTAGGCGGGTGGAGGCTGCGAGCGAGGCGGGAATCCCTCGAGCAGCTGAGGAGGAGAGAGAGAGAGAGAGAGAGAGAGAGAAGGAGGGAAGGAGGGAAGACGCTTGGCGCCACTGCTTTAAAACGACGGTCCAACTCGGATAATTGGGAACAACGTATCTTCGGAGATCTGGATCCCAACATCGGCGCCCTGGTTGCTGGACCCTCGATCTTTTAACCCCCAAACTCTTTTTCAATCCTCCGTTCGGCAAAAAGCAGAAGCACCTCGAGTCTCCTCTTCAGCGAACAGAACAGATGTTCTTCAATGGCAGAAAGATCTCGGTCCTCGAACCTCTTCTTCAATGGGCACAAGCACCTTGATCCAGGCAACTTTCGGGCCACCGCTCGGGCCGCAGGGGGGCGCTTGGGACGACCCGAACACCCGCGAACCGCTCTCGGTGAGGCGCAGCTGGTGGAGAGCATCCCGAGGCCAGAAAGCCGTTGAGAACCCCCGAAACGCATCAGAAACCTCAAACCTCGGCCCCGTCGTCCCCCCCCGAGCCCATCTCCCCTCCCACACGTGCCCCCTGACCCCACTCGAGCGGGAATGGGGGGTGACCGACATGGGGGGGGGGGAGAAAAGGGCCCTAAAGGGGCCCTTTGGGGCCCTTTTTGGAGGCTGCAGCGTGCCCAGTGGGGCCCTAAATGGCCTCTTCAGGGCCACTTTCTCCCCCCCATGTCGGCCATCCCCGCCCCGACCCACCCCGCCAGCCCGATACCAGCGCTGGTGTCCTCGGGGCGGCGCCTGGCGGCCCAAGCCTTCTCCGTCGGGGCCCAGTCGGCCCCCAGCGCCTGCGCGGCGGCCGCGTTGCAGGAGACAGCCTCGTCGAGCACCTCTCGGCCGCGCGGGCGGCATCTGCCGGGCGCCAGCGCTCTCCTCGCCGACGTCGTCGTTGCCGCGAGCCGCTTGGTCCCAGATCTCTGAGGATCTGATGTGCAACCGATTTGTTATGTTATTTGTCATTCCCCGCGCCAGCGCTCACTTCCGACATACTTCCCACAGCACACACGCCAGCTGGCAATGCGCATCATCTCGCCATGCCCCACATACGGGAGACTCGGTCACAACGGAGATGAGCAGCAAGACGGACGGAGAAATACTGCACAGACGGTCCTAACACCAAGCACATACTTCCGCCACTGCTTCGGAGAACACTCTCCCAACATCAGCCCCCAAAACCGGCAATGGCCCGGTCCTGGGCAGGACAAAGACTCAGCCGCATTCGCAGGACATACGTCTATTCCGACGTCCACGACGAAGGAGGAAGAGAAGGAGGAGGGGGAGGGGCAAGGCGGAAGCGGAAGCGGAGAGGAGAGGAGAGACTAACCTGCACGTGACCTGCAAACACTCCGCCGTGAGTGGGCGACCAGTCCGCCATGAATGACCACGAGCAGCCATGGAAGAGGTAAGGCTCAAATTTGGCCATGGGCGCAGAGCACCAGGGCACCGCGCAGAGCACCATCAGCACCATGTACATATGATGTGTTCAATCCTGGCGGTGTTCTGCGGTTTCGGCCTGCGGACCCGATTTGTTAGGGCCCGGCGCCATCATAAAAGGATCCGGAGCGACAAACTACCCCCAGGGAAGCGGTCGGTACCCCTGGGGCCACGCATTGAATAATTACTTTGCTTCGAGCGATCCCTACCGAAGCCTTCGGTGTTTGTTCCCATCGGTGCGCGCGTCGCGTTTGAAACGTTCTGGAATGCTATGTGCGTTGATGATGTGCTATAGTGTGGTAGTTTCTGCCATCGTATTTTATGGTATGTTCTGCAATGGTATGTTATGTTATGATCGGTTGGGTGATGTTAGGAGGTGTGGCGCTATGTTATGTTATGTATGATCCGCTATGTCACAGTTGGTGGTAGTATGATATGTTATGTTATGCTATGATGTGAAACGTATGCCACGATCTGCCATGTTATGATGTGTCATATGTGCTGCGATTTTATATGTCATGCTGTCTGTGCCGTGATGCTGTGTGATGGTGTGGTATGTTATGTCATGGTGTGTTATGCTATGCTCTGTTCTGTCATGTAATAGTATGGCATGCTCTGCGATGGTATGGTATGGATGCTCCATAATGTCATAGCATGCGTGATTATACGGTGTCGTGCTATGACTTGCTATGCCATAGTATGTGAGGCTGTGACTTGTTCTGTTTTGGTGTGTTCCGTTCTGCGAGGTTGTTGTGCAGTATGCTTGTTTTGTCATGTTTTGTAATGCTATGTGCTGTGAGTTTGTGCTATGGTATGCACTGCTCAGTCGTGATGTGCTACGCTACGACATGTTATGTCATGATATGGTATGCTCGGATACGTTCTGCCAAGTGGTGTGGTATTGTGCCCTGTTCTGTCATAGTGTTTAATGTTGCGCTGTACTATGTTCTGCTATGCTGTAACTCCGCTATGTAATGTTATGATTCGTCGGCGTGAGGCGGGACACTCGGGGACACTTAGGGGACCTGGGGATCTGGCGGTCGCGGTATGCACAGTGGCGCGAGGCGGGACACTTGTGGGACCTGGGGATCTGGCGGCCACGGTATGCAGAGTGGGCGACTCGGCGCGAGGCGGGACACTCGGTGACACTCGGGGGACCTCGGGGTCTGGCGGCCGCGGTATGCAGAGTGGACGGGTCGGGAGGTCTTTTCTTAAAATCTAACGACCCCAATCTGTCGGGTGGGGAAAAACACCAGCGGATGTCAGGTGATCGAGGTTCGAGGACCCCCTGGCTGCCCCCCCTTGAGAGCGAAAACCAAAGCCTCGCTCGAGGCATCCTCAAAATCTGCTCCAACAGCAGGGGATGATGCGGCAGCGAAGAGGCAAACCGCTTGAGGCATCCCCGCCATGTTGACGCGAACGGAGGAGTGCAATACCCCCTGGCGGCCGCCCCTCGGGGTGCTGAAACCCGCGCCTCGATCGAGACATCCTCAGAAGTCGCTCCGCCATCATCATCATCATCATCATCATCATCATCATCATCATCATCATCATCATCATCATCATCATCATCACCACCATCATCATCATCATCAGCAGCAGCAGCAGCAGCATCAGCATCAGCACCAACATCATCATCAGCTTCACCACCGTCATCATCACCACCACCACCATCGTTATTATCACCACCATCCGCGTCATCACCATCACATCATAGCATGACACAATATAACAACGCGTACGGTAACATACCATCACATACCATGTACAACCAGAGAAGAACATACTTTATCATACCATGTCATGCCATAAACATGTACACCATAAAACAACACATTGCATCATATCATAACATCACATACCATGGTATAGCATAACATAACATATATGTGCGACTCTGGGTGGGGAAGAGGAGTAGGGAGGTGAGTGGGCCGCCTCAGCGCGGTCGGAGCAAACACAACACTCCCATACGTTGGATATGGGTAGTTGTTTACCGCGTGGAGCTCCCTACATGTACATACATTCGCATGGACCTGTCCACCGCAAGTGTCTAGGCGCAAGAGATGTCGAATCTAGACGGGTTTGAGTTTTGACGGTCCGGGGGGAAATCAACTGTGAACGAATTGGGATGCGAATGGGCCCCAGTGGTATTAGTGCGTCTCTGCGCATCAGCCTAAGGCCTCCTGGAGCCTCTTGCACCTTCTGGGGTTTCCTGGGGCCTCCTGGAGCCTCTTTGGGATTCCTATGGCCTCCTGGGGCTTCCTGGGGCCTCGCGTGGTTTCCTGTGGCCTTCAGGAGCCCCCAGGAACCTTCTTGAGCCTCCTGGGCAGGACCCGTGCCCCAGCAGAGGCCCAATCTACAAACACAAACGTAAACCACTTCCGAGTGGAACCACAGGAAAGGGGCAATCTATAGGAACCCCCACTTCAGTTGTGTCTCTCGTCCCGCTGGCCCACGAGCGAGTCAGCAAACCCCTCAGCGTCGTGTGGCGTCTGGCAAGGACTCTAGCTCGGGCGACAATTAAATGCCGAACTCCGTTGGGGCCGTATCTATTTTCAGCACGCAAGGAGTTGGAAGTGGTATAAAAAAGACCATGACTTAGCATTCATGATTGAAGCTCCTCTGGGGTCATGTCTGGGAGCTGAACGGCGAACATACGCTGACAGGAAGAGGGCAAAGGGAAGCAGGAGGGGAGGGAACGGACGACATGAGGAAGCAGAGACAACACTGCAGGGCAAGAAAAGAAGTGGTCCACCTGGTCTCCGCCCAAACTGCAGCAACCGAAGCGGCAGATGTCCGTCCCTTGTCGGGATATCCAGGTGGTCGGCCACGCATTGCACACGGCCCGCAGATAGGCTATTCCAACAGAGGGGACGAGTTTACGATTGGCAATGAGAAGATTCAGGAAAACACGATCACCCACGGGGGCGGCCTCAGGCCAGAAATAGCGCTCACGCCTAAGAAGAAGAGGAACCTGGGATGGGGGACGATGGCGAGACTTCAGGAACCGATACATCTTCCTCTGGACACCTGCCTCTTCAGGATCACGTAGGTGGGGGCAAGAGCAGTCAACTCTCTCCAGCAGCGCATCATCGAAAATGTGACGGACGACTCCCACCACCGTGGAAATCGGGGAAGAAACAGAACATCCAGGTCCCGAGCTCCAGTAAACATGTGATGAAAGCGGCCCATGGCGTCACAAAGCTCTCGCGAGGAGCGTAGAACACCAAGGACTCGCGCCCCTGGAGAGGCTTCATATATAGAGGAACGTGTTTGAAATAAGAGGAGTGGTGACATATACGTAAAACACAAAAGGATTCGCACTCCGGAGGGGGGGGGCCTGATCTATAAGAACATGCGTAAAGCACAAAGGGGATTGGAGCCGTTCCTGTGGCCTTCTAAGGCCTCCTGCCTGGGGCCCCATGAGTTCCTAAGGCCTTCTGGGGCCTCCTGGTGCCTCCTGGCGCTTCCTGTGGCCTCCAGTGGCCTCCTGGGTTCCTACTGTGTCTTCCTATGGCCTCCTGTGGCCTCCTGATGCCTCCTGGGACCTCCTGTGGTTTCCTGGGGCCTCCTGGAGCATGCTGGAACTTCCTGTGGCCTCCTGAAGAGGATCCGTGCCCACGAGTCTGGCCAGCAAAGCAAGCACACCGTTCGAGACCTCCTCGCAATCTGAGCCACCACGGGTGCGAGAACCAGCGCCTCGCTCCAGACATCATCAAATTCTACTCCGAAAGCAGAAGATGTTGCGCTGGTAAACAATCAAACCGCTCGACGCATCCCCGCCATTCTGGCGCGACCGGAAGAATGCAATACCCCCTGGCGGCCCCCCTTGGGTGTGAAAGCCAGCGCCTCGCTCGAGACATCCTCAAACTCTGCTCCGACAGCGGAGGGTTTTGCGCTGGCACACAGGCAAGCCGCTCGAGACATCCCCGCAAGTTGGGCGCGAACTGGCGAGTGCAATACCCTCTGGCGGCTCACCATTGGGGATGCTGAAACCCGCGCCTCGCTCGAGACATCCCCCTAATCTGTTCCGCCATCACTAGCATCATCATCATCAGCATCACCACCACCCCCACCACCATCGTCAACAGCATCATCACCACCACTATCACCAGCATAGCAAACTAGAACACACCGTAACATAACATACCATAACATAGCATAGCATAGCGTACCATACCACACCACTCCTTCCACAACTCCCAAGCCATACAGTTGATAACGAACACACAAACGTCACTTCCAGAACCTTGCGTTCCGCGGTGCAATCAACAGCAGGGGTAGAATGGCAGTTCCAACCGGACGGCCTGCGTCTCGCGGATTATTCTTCGCACCCCCTGCCCGATGGATACGTCTCCTGCGCAAGTATAGCATCAGCTGTAACAAGCAGCAAAGA